GCCCAATTTCGGTTCTACCTTGTAGTAATAAGTCCCTTCAGCTAAGTCGGTGACGTTCTGAATGACCAATCCGAAGTGGCTGCTGATGCCGTACGTTCTTTCAGGGATGCCGTCTCCCTGATAGAGGGCGCCGTGGAAGTAGGAGAATATGAAATGGTCTCGGTCATACTGACCGAAGTACCAGTACACGCCTTCCAGGTCATCAAACGTGTATTCAAGGGATGCAGCGGGGTTGCAAGGCACAATCCCCCGGTAACCTCGCTCTAAGAAGACGGTCTGCTCCTGACCCTTGTATGATGGAAGCCACAAACACAGCACTGTGTACAATAATCAAACCAAGATGGTAAAGATCAAATGCAATTGGTAGAAAGGGTGACTTTCTATTCCAAGATACCTGGGTGGAGCTGAACGGGGCAAATCTTGCGAAGGTAGACAGGGTGTAGTATACAAAGTTTACAATAAGGAGTGGCAGCAAGACGTTACTATGCATTGGTTGCTACACTGTAAAAATCTGCTTTTTTTAACAAATATTTCATTAGCAGAGTTCCAGGACAACCTCTTTCTACGTCCTTCGCTAGAATCTTGAATATATTTGTTATCTTGGAGGGTGAGACCGGGCTATTAAAACTGAAGAATAGTCACATCACGATAGTCGTGATTTCTTTGTATTATTTATTTAAACAATGCCAATAATGAATATGTAGTTATTCATAATTGCACATGAACGACATGATCTTGCATAATGCATATGGGATTTCCACCAATCAAAGTAGTTGGAAGTGTAGACTCGTTCATTGTAATGCAGGTATGAAAAAAGATAAGAAGTATACAGCCGCAGCGCTATACTATCTTTGGGTATGAACGACGTAAAGTAATTTCGGCAATATGATTGGTTGCCACCACTTTTGGTAGATGCGCTCATTCGCTTAGTACAAACGGTAGGCAGATTCGTCAAGTCGAGATTTCGGAACTGAACTCATAGTAATAAGTGAACACAAAAGGGCGCGAAGCAAATAAAGGCGCGCAGTCTCGATGCGTTTCCAAAGCATATACGAATATGTCCCAGAGATCCCGACCTGAGTCAAGTCTACCACTTTATCAGCTGGGACAATGCTCGCTTAAATATTTAAACTCCTTTCTGTAATTGATCAAATTTGTGTTAGAACGATAGTTAGGACTTACACAACGAAATCTTACAGCAGGGTATCAGCTTCATCTCGCTCTTCTCCCTGAAAAGAGAAAAGTCAATATTTTTACACAATACCGTCAAATATACACAGTCTCAGTAGATTTCTAAATCTTAAAAAAAAATTAATTCACAAAGTTTGAAAAATTGGTTGACCAGCTCCGAAAATGTCAGGCCAAAATAATCGCTTTGGGCAAGAGGACAGAATGTTTGTAGTCATTCATTCAAGATTTCAAGAACCTTTTGGCATTGAAGTTGTTTCACGGCTTTAAACGGAATATAAACTCTCTGTTGATTAATTTAACAAATCCAAATACGTTTCTCTATACACCCTTAAAACCTCTTCAGGCTCGGGCTACCAGTGAGATGAAGAAACGTCCACTGGTTACGTAGTGCATTCAGCAGCTGCCAACAGTGTTCAGGTGTTGCGATAACCAGTATCTGTCAGTTAAAATTTGGAACAAAACCGGTCTTTTGACTTTGCTCAGACTTCATTAGATAAAATTCAGCACATTGTTTTTTTCATGACACTTGGAATTGTGGACTTATAACACTTGACGATATTTTTAGAATTGTTGGGATTTTTGCAAGATAAAATCTTCTATGCACACACAGAAACATTGTTTCCAGAATATTCGGGATTTTCCGAAGACAACAACTCGGCAGATGCTTTGAAACATCTCGATATCACACGCAGCGTGAGGCAACCTACTGTTATAGTGATTTTACTAATGTAGGAGAGCAAATTAATCGAAGAATGTTGGGGAAGTGTTTCCATCAGTAGTATTTGGATACATTCGTGCACATTCCACCTGGCATGTTATGTCATAGTGTACATATACATTGCTCATTGTATTTTGATCACTTTTGTAGGCCTTACCGGTATATCTTAATAAAGGTTCCTTTGCTTTTAATTGAAACTCATGTTTAACCCAACATTGAAGTACGTAGCAATTGGAACTATCGAGTCATTCCAAATACCAGCGAGCATTTATCAAAATCTGTGAAGAGAAACAAAACGTTATATGTTGCCTAGGTGGTTGCCACGGGCAGTTGGTACTTTCTTTGCATTTTAAATACTAGCTGCCTTTATCTCACCAAAGTGGGAAAAACTGATGTACCGAAAAGACCGTATGACCTGATCTCAGCTCACGAAGCCTCCGATCCTCATCTGCTGATTCGGTCCGAAATCAAATAACAATTTATGAAATCTTCCAGGGACGGCAGATGCAACTCTTAAAAGCCAACTCTGACCCATCTGTTTCATTTATTTTGTTTCATTGACCTCTCTTGACCAAAGGGCGAAATGTATGGTATTGCATTTACAATTCATTAAAATATTTAAAACGTACATTTATTAATTAAAAACTAATGTACAATCAATGTCTGATATACAATGCATGAGAACATTAGAAGCATCAACAAACATTGAAAAGAAATTAAAAGGAATCACACGCAAACAAATCATCTGTAACATTCCTTCAATAAATGAATTAGGACGATTACCACCCTACTAAATCACAGTTAAGGCAGCATTTCAAAAAATACGAGTGCATATTATTCTCAAACGTCTTAAGTCTACGCAAATATGTAGTGCTTTGTAATGGAGGGCAAAACATATAACCTCAACATAACCAACAGTGGTTTACACCTTTTTGTGAACAAAAATCAAGGTCTTAAATTATTTCGTTAATAATCAGTAATTGTGAAACTGAGCTTCCAGCATCGGGATTCTGTCTCATAGTTACCTTATCTTTTCATTGTTTGTTTTTGGGGATGTACTGAAAATTCATGATGCGAAGTATACTGGATGTTTCTTTACAAATCTTAACACCAACCGGGCTTAAACGGCCAAAGAGTTCGATTAGAGTGACTTATATATGTATACATATGCAAAAAACGTATTTTACCCAGATAATTACTCTGTTTTATTTTGAATTATAGAATTGAATGTATTATGACAATTAAAGTGAGTGAAACGTAACTGCCAAAAGATGACGCACAAAAGCCATTCTTTTTTTTTCCAACTAAAGAACGTACTAGTTGTTTAATGATATTGCCTTTGAATCGGGCGCGGTAAGTTATAATTGTTATTTCCCAGTGTTCTCCTTTTTTTTTTTAGCATTTTGCAAAACTTACCCAATGCCAACTGCATGTACTGTTAAATAGCTGCCGACACAAGATTATTATTTCTCTTTCACAAAGTTTTTAAAATGCACGGAAAAGTCAAGTTAGTAATACTTGAACGCCGCACCACCGGTATACCATTGCTAGTTTCTGGGGTTAAATGGCCGATTAAAAACACGAAAAGTAAGTCACTGAAGTCATTAGCTTTAATTAATGGCAAAATTTAATGCTTGGATGAGCGTCTATGAGAAGGTATATGGGGGAATAAAGTTGTATTTGAGGTTTTTATACCGTGTCATTGAGTCCATTACTATGAAAATGTATCAAATGGATCTAGGCCAGGCTTTTTATATACAACCTGACAGATTTAACAACTAAGTTGCAGCTTACAATGTTGTTCACCATTTCATTATTTGTTGTAAAGCACGTGAATCAGTACGCTTAGAATTTCGCAATAATCGCCTATTGTCCTTCAACGGTTCCAAAAGGGAATTTCCAATGCATTCAATGACCTTTTGTAAACAGCAGGAGATAGCGCTAATTGCGTAGTGCGGCACTGATAGCGCATATTGGCCTAGAATACCTTTTATGTTTATTGAAACTGGAGTCCAGTGTAACATGCAACACCCTTTTTCTGAGGTAAACAATCCCTCATCTTGCAAGATGTCATTTAATGATGCTCAAAAATATTAGAGTAAATATCACTTTCGAATAACAAGTAATAATTCTAACATAAATAACTTGCTAATGCCAATCTAACTAAGATCTCAACACTGAGTGATCACGTTAGTTTAATTTTCATTCCAATGAAGCTTGTACAGTGTATAAAAAAACTTGATGGGAGTAAATTAATTTTGGATTTTGCCCTGTCCGACGTGCACTTAACACTGTATACTCAGTGTATGCCCCAGAAGGCTTGTGAAAAAAGCCCACATGCACTCAGGTGGGACTCGAACCGTCACCCCCTCCTGCTTACTAGTGCAGATATCTTAACCACTTGACCACCGAGGTCGGCTGGCTGGTTTCCCAGCGCAAATCCATGTTTGAAATGGTTTATGAGAGTAGCATTTCAGTCATTTGAAGCAACATATGGGACGGAGAGAGCCCCCCCGCACCTTTGTGTTGGTCATTGTTTGATCGGAATCCCAGGAATTCTTTCCGGACCTCTCGGGGGATGACTTAGGTAACAACAGTCTAGAATGAGTATAGGGATCGGACAGGTAAGGGGGCTACCCCTTTGTCCCATATCTTGCCTGGTATAATTTCAGTTATTGCTCGATGAATGGTTTAAACAGTGACTTTTAAAGTACAAAGTATCATCGGAAGACACAGACTGGCTATTGAAGGGTCATTAGCATAACACACCTAAAATTACATTATAAATATCAGTGTTGTAGTTGAGACCATCACAAGACCATACAGAAGACCATGCGCAAGACCAGTCACAAGTAACAGGATAAACAATGACAAAGGAATGCTTTTGTTGCAGTTTATTTGAATAGCTTGGGACTTGAATTCAGACTGGAGGTCTTGTGTTGGTTTTGTGTGGTCTTGTGAAGGTCTCTTTACGTTAATTCACACCTTGTCTCCATGTTACCAAACGGACTTACAAACATTATAAAACACCATTGCTAATACATTTTTTAATCTTGCAGTGAGCTTTGGGGGTAACAGTGACAATGTTTAGCATCAAAATGCGAACAAAATATCGAACGATCCATTTGGTATTGGATCAAAAGTCATTCAGGTTCTGTTCAAGTCTGGATACTAGATACGTCTCCCAATCATAGTGTTTGGACTGTACATTGTCCACCTTAAAATCATTGCTTGGTTCTTATTATTCTGATAACTTTCCACACTGTCTAAAAGCATGACTTTGTTTTTGCATGACTTTAATTTTGCTACAGTTCACCGGGCAATATCGACGAGCTATAAAGTGTGATGAATTATGTGTGACTTCACCCCTTTTATATATATATAGTTGGAG